ATTGAGCTTTATCGTTTGCGCGATGCGACGCTACCGTTTATTTACGGTCATATAGCATGTAGATGAATTCTCAATGCCCGAAACGCAGTAATTGCTCGGTCCGCCGAGAGGAATAATTTCCGCGGGAGCCTGGGATCTAACTAAGTAGGATCATGCCCGGCATGTGGAAAGTGTTAGTTCATGCCCTACGCGCGAAAATTCTTAGTTCATGCCCTGCGCGCGAAAATCCTTAGTTCATGCCCTGCGCGCGAAAATCCTTAGTTCATGCCCTGCGCGCGAAAATCCTTAGTTCATGCCCTGCGCGCGAAAATCCTTAGTTCATGCCCGGCATGTGGAAAATGTTAGTTCATGCCCTGCGCGCGAAAATCCTTAGTTCATGCCCGGCATGTCCAAAATGCGGAAAAGATGACAAAAAATGAAGTGAAGTCAAAATTTTTTATTAAAGGCTATTGCAGAAGTTGATAATGACAGAAATCGATTTATTCATCTGCCATTTGTGCCTTTCTCTTATGGATCAATTTTGCACTAATACCTTGAAAGCTATCGATTGGTGTCCAATAATTTTAAATAAAAACCCGTTCATATTGGTGTCCAATAAAGTATAAAATATTTGTGACGGTTACTGAAGACATAAACTAAGTTCATGTTCAAAAAGTTGAGCAGACATAGAATACTGTGAAACTCCAACACAACGTGTTCAGTATGTCATCTGTCACAGTTCACCTACAGAAAGAAAAGAAGAAGAAAACAATTGAAATAAAAATGAAACATATGTCTTTTACGAAGTCTTATGCCTATATTAAAATATTGTATTTATTATACATAGGATTTTTGCATTGAAATAGCGCTTTATATGATTGACAGACTTCCTTTTCGAACAAACTTTGAGTACAGAGCGAGCGACAGCAAGAAGAAGAGCCTTCTTACTATATACCTTTTTTTCTTTTTTTGGTTTTCCCATGCATCTTTACATTGTTGGTTGATGTCAGTACCTTGAACCCAAGAGTTTTTCCATTCAACCAAGTACTCTTTTTTGTGCTATATAAGATCAGTTACAATTTTAATCAAGTATTAAGTCAGGGGTAACAAGGAATCCAATGTACATAAACTGCTGGGTAATTTATTTGAATCCAGATTTTAGACATAAATTAGACAGGCTATTTCCGCTTTTACTGGAATTTTAAGAATAATCAATTGATATAATTAAATATTGAAGTTATAACATACACACAAAAAAAATAATTTGCATTTGTCGTGACAAAACACAACTTTTTATTACACTTACTGATCTATGATTGGTTCTTTCTTTTACGACTCTTTTTATGGGCCATTCTCCTCTATTCACAATCTCTTTTTCTTGTATAATTTTTTGCTTTTTCAAAGGGTCGACATACTGTCCAGAGTATACCTTTACATAAATGAATGGAATTAAATTACATATTATTGATCAATTCCACCATCCATGATATGATAGCAGATGTACATGTGCATACAACTGTATTTACCAGGGGCATTTCTGATTCTTCGTATGCTACATCGATAGTTGCAGAACGACCAGCTTCCACATTTCTGGTGTCCTGCTCCTTCCGTTTAGTTTTAAGATCAGATATTGGCCAATCGCTATCTCTGGATTTCAATAAATTACCTGAGACAAAATTGGCACAAACTGTTTGTTTCACAATCACTGTAACATATATTTTGTCTTTTAAGTTCCCTCCCCTTCCCTATAAAAATATTACAAAAATTGAAAAGTATGGAGTACTATAATTACGAGTTTACCGGACAGGTACTGCTCCCACCAAGTTTTTCTACTTAATAACTTGTCATCCTGCATCAATGGATGTTCAAACAGCCTGATGAATATGCCAGTAAGGAGTGTTATTTAAAAATATTAATGGTAGGAATGTTATACAGCCTTTTGCAAAAATTATGAGAATTGTCTAAATATCTAAATATCATAATATCCATATCCATATATTTTCCGGAACACGCGGGTTTGCTAAAGAATAATTCATTGTTGACATCGAGAAAATGTTCAGAACTACGGATAAGTCTGTCGCCAAAAAAAAACCCTAAACTACAAAGACAAGGGACTAAGGGCATCGCGCGGGATTACCCATCATGCACTTGATATTATGATATTTAGATATTTCAACAATTCTCATAATTTTTGCAAAAGGCTGCATGATAAAAGTGTACTTGTAAATGATATATTAAGTACTATTATTTCATACTTGATTCAGTTTTCTTTGTTATTCATAGTGTTGTATCTCGCTTATTCCCCAGCTCGTTGTGTATTCAAGTGCTTTATATCGAAGTTTCAGGATATATCTAGATATCGTCCCCATTTGAGGGCAATATCTATATATTGCCCTTGAATACTAATGTATATTGCCCTTGAATACCTAATTAACTACTACGTTCAACTTAGAAATTTTCCGTCTGAAACTTTAAACTTGGAAGAAAGAAAGAAAAATTCAAATGACACCAAGTAGATTCGAACCCACAACCTTAGCTTTGAAAATCCTATACTTAACTCGTTATGCTAACTGACTAATCGATGTCAGTTATGGAATAAAACAGTTATTTAACATTGTCCAGTTACTTGTTACAAAAGGTGTATTATTAGCATTGGTCTCATGGGACTAACGAGAAAATTGGTTATGCAAATTATTCCCATTGGGAATTTTCAATACTGTAAATTTCGTAATCTTTCTAATCGAGGGTTTGATTTTTAATTCATATGAAAACGGCTTCTTTGCCTGTTTAAAAATGAAAATATTAATGCAGTGCTTGGAAAACTTCTTCAAGTATGAAATAAGCCAGTTACATACCTCGAATGTCGGCAATCAGCCTCTTACATATTTTATCACATTTAAAAAGTAAGGATCAAAACTCATGTATTTTCTTGTCATTATATGTACATACTTCTTGGAATTTTCTTTTACTTTTTCCATCTCTTGGTCGGACAAAGTATAATGTGGTGGCACCACTGCAGGTACACCATGAGGCTTTTCCTGCCATATATAACATAAGGAAGGATATTGTCATTATGGTGACTGAGAACAGCCACCAGCCCTAGGCAATACCAGTGAATTCCCCTTTAAGGCCAAAAGGGGCTACTAGATGACTCAAACATACTTGTACAAAAATACACCACCAGCATGTTTACCTTAAAAATCAGAACACCATATTTGTCATCATCAGTCAGGTAGGTCTTTGGGTCATTGATGTCAGGCAGCCAAGTATCCTTGCAATATCTTTTGCAGTGAAGTACCACATTTCCTAATAATTATATTGGAATGGTGACAATGCATTATCAAAGACTGTGATATTTAGGTCAAAGTTATCAAACTTCAAAGATGAGTACAGTAATATCATCGGTGTACGTACAGCAAAGTTGTGCTGATGACATATGTATTACTTGTGCTCATCCATGTGACCATTAAAATAACTTACTCATTGCCACAATCATGAAATGCATGCATAATACTATTACCTTCGCAATTCTTATGTAACCAGAAGTGATGGACGTTGGCAAAGTCATGAACAGTTGTCAGAAATGGTGAAAGAAATGATGTAATATCCCAGACACATGGCACTTCTTTAACATTTTGAACGTATGGCACTTGCATCATGAGAGTTGCCACTTCTTTTCAAACAAAACATATTAAAAAATTATCACATTTGTATTGAGAAAAAATATTAATGACAGTGAATGAAATTTTAATACATATTCCAGCAGTTTTGTTTTAAATTCAATTATGAACAATACGTATTTACAAAGCTTTTATCTGTAGATTTTACCACACATACAACTGAACTGAACTGATCCTGATGACAAAATACATCATTCTGCATTTATTTACTTCTTATAATTATACACACCTTATTGAAAAACGGTCGTCAGATAGGGTAAAAATGATATTATCAAAGCTTAAGAAAGTCATTTTTATTCTGAATCTGATATAATTGTTTTTCCCAAAAAATATTCTGGCAATATTTGTTTTCCCATGCAACTTTTTGGGCTGATCTAGCCAAACTTGGAACCTGACAATCCTTTTCAATTAGGTGTTTATACCAATCATACCATGAGACGTGACCATATCTGCCCTTTTTAGCTTTTCATTTGTATTTTCAAACATCCTGAATACAAGGTTATAGATATAGAAAATGAATTTCAACCAATACTGCAACCAGAAGACATTCAATAAAAAGATTGTAGACAGGTTGAAACGTCCATCATGAAGTATACATTGGTAGAACCTTTTCGTAAATGAAATCTCATTATAATAAAAAAAACCTAAGCTAACATCTTATTCAATATTTCATTAAATCAATTTTACTGATTTCATCTAATCCATAAACTTGCGACCCAAACAGAATGAAACATACAGTACCACCTGAAGACATTGAAGAATAAATTGTGTAATAAATATAATGAAATGTTACATTACCCACCTATCTACATCTTCATGGGTATGGTTCACAATTAGCGTGTTGCCATAAACCTATGTAAAAGGAATATGTAATATTCATGATTTTAATATTTCCAATATTCCTGTACATACAGTACAGTACACATAGTCTGCTAGTAATTAACCCTTACAACATGACAATGAATGTGACTTACATTATGGAATATCCCCTCAGAAACAAGATAGGCAAACAATGCGATGGATGTGTTACATTTGTTGTTGCTGGCATTATCAAATTGAAGACTCAGATTTCTTGGAAAGGGTGCTGCCAAAGTGTTGATCAAGTGGACCAGACAACTCAGAATCAGGTCTGCATTATCTTGGTAAAAAAGATTCAAAAAACCAAAACCTAATTTTGGTTGCACATCCAAACCTATTGTAAAGAGATTGTCACAGACAAAAACAAGCATGTATTGTGAAGCTTACACAATGATTTTATGAACTATTAAGGGGAATAAGAGAGTTTCATTCTGGCTTTGAATACTGCCAAAAATAGATGCTACCCAGGTTCTTTTTGTTGTGTTATGTAGTCAAAGCCATTCCAATGTTTAATCCCTTTAGATATAGTATTTAGTAAAACAATTGGGACACTATTACTATGTTGTACATTAATTTTCAAAAGAATGCAAGCAAAGCATTCTGGTCTTGGTAAATTGCTTTATAATTGTGTTTACAAAATTATGTAAACATGATTACATTATTAATATAATTTATTATACCTTGTCGATGACAAATAAAGCCTTCTAAATTGCATGGTAATTTCTGTATAGTCTCTAGATCTTTGGATGGGTTTGCTGAAAATCTTGGCAGCCTTGTCTTTTCTTTGTGCATGCCATCATAAATCACGCACAGCAAGTCTTCAGGTTGATGCACACTTTCTATTTGCCGTGCATAATAATCTTGCTTCTCAGCCCTTAAGTATATAATCAAGATAGAACTTGTATCAACAAGAAAGTATTTTGAATACAATAAAGTCTTGTGACTTTAAGCATTGCCTTCCGGTTTGGAACCAGCAACACTATTTGCCATTAATTAGAAAGTAGAATTAACTTCAATGGACAATTCAATTTTTGGCTAAAAAATAATCAAAATAGTGCACTCGAGTGTGAAGTCACAAAATATTTTTTTTCAAATTTTTCGTATTCGTTGAAATATCCTTGAAGCGCATGGAAAAAGTAGCTATCTACCAAATCTCACCTGTGTCCTAGTGCAACTTATAGTGGAGATACAAGTGATTTTATGGTTTGGTGACCACATACAAACGCTTGTAAATTTGGTCATCAAGCATAAAATAAAAAATACATCAATTTTGCACAGAAGAATCAACAAGCATCAATAAGCATAAAATCGTTTGTAACTCAGCTATAAATGGCACCAAGACAATCATATTTAGCAAGGATGCATTATAAATGATGCACTTTCAGAATATAAAGGGTAAATTTAAAAACTCAAAAATTTTCGTTTTGTGACGTCACCACTTGAGTACTCTATTATTCTTAAAATCATAGCTTAAAAAAATAGAATTCTAATTAAAATGTAGGAATTACATCTTCTGCATATCAAAATTTGAAAATTTAGTAATAGCTGGATCATGTCTACAATATCAAGGCACATTGAATTTACAAGTATTACTAACATGTATAAATCCTTGTGTTTGCTCCTTTCTTCCTTCAAGGCTTCCAAAGCTGGCAAGCACTTTCCAGCTTCCATACACCTTTTCTTCAAGGACTGACATTGAGGGCATCTTGCAAAGATCTGATTCTGTGTCAGAAATTATTGTAAGCATACAGATTAGTATGGTGGTAGATTGTAATTTTATTCTTGGCTATATTGATTAATAATTATCAAATGCAAGCACTGATCCCATTTTAAATTGACTGATCCCCAAAACAAAAAGACACACCTTAGTAGGTATTTTCACTTTGCTGTCCCAATATTTATAAAGTGATTTTGTGTCAGTTTCAATATAATCAGGCTTCTCTTCAAACACAGCCTTTTTGGATGGGACATGCAGGTGGAATATATCATCATGCGGCATTGGTTCACCAAATAGATTAAAGTAATTCTCAAGCCATTGCTGTCCTTGCATAGTTTTTTCAGATACAATGTGATGCCGAAAATTATTGCCATGTTCAATAACTTTTGCACCAACCTAAATGAAAGTGCATGGTTTATCCAGATGATCTACCAAG